CATATTCACTTACTCACTGCAACTGCCCTGTATTTACTACGTAAATTAGTTATTTGTTTACTGCACTTCGAAGTACTGTCTTCTCCAGGTCTTTGTTATCACTCTCTCTGTAATACTATCTCTCTCCTGCTTTCATGATCCTATATATAGTGAAGTGATTTATTGAATAATACACACATTAACCAGTGTGAGTGAGAGATAGTACGAATACACAGAGAGAGTGATTACTAAGACCTGGAGTAGGTAGATCCAAAGTTGATTCAGAAGAATATAGCGAAAAAGTGATTTTTAAAATAAAACATAGATTATTCAGCCAAAGCTCGCTTGGAATGTTTTCTAGAAATCCTCTAAAGATCTTTATAGTATGTCTGTTAGATTGGGCATACGAAAGAAAAAATGCTGTTTTTTTCCGGTGATTACTTTACGTTATTTGGTTTTGCTGTTGAAAAAAGACAGTTTTCTATAGAACTAGATTAATTAATAGAACATACGAAAGCTTTTTTAGCTGTGTTCGATCGATCTCTGGAGCTTGCCCAAATATCTCGAACTTTTTCAAAATCTTATAGAATTTTAAAATTGAAGAAAAATAAAGACATCAGATAGGAAACATTTCAACATACATTTCCAATTCCAAGCATCATTACCTATAATACATTTAGGTATGGCTTAGTAACCCTCCTGAACTGTTTCTTGTTCTGTATAGTTTCATAGGAGAAGGTTTAGTAACTTTACTTGTTTCTACACCTCTCCTAAACGCTTCATAAGGGTTTAGGAAAATGAAACTATTCAGAACGAATAAGGGTTTGGGAGAGCTGCTAAACGCTCTCCTAAACGCTTTTTTATGTAAACTTCTAAACCCTTATTCGTTCTGTATGGTTTCATTTTCCTAAACCCTTTAAAGTCTTTTAAACTACGCTTTTTTCTTAGAGTGTTTCTTTGTTTCATTTTAACGGCTTCTTTGGAGTTGATATAATCTACCTGGTTTTTGTCTAAATTTTATTTATGAGAGAAGTAATATTCGGGCAAAAACCATGTGGATTATATTGACCCCAAAGCATCCGTCAAAATGAAATTAAAAGGAAGCTACTGTCAAATTCACTGAGAACTTTGACATCTGCCACCCAATTTTTATTTAATTTGATTCAGCGCGGGCGAGTATCACATTTTCTAATGATGGCATCGACGTCTAGAGTAGCTCATTAAAGCGAAAAGTGACGCGGTGGAATGCAAGATCAAACAGTGAGAAAAGTACGCACTATGACAAATATGCCGAGTGTAAGGAGGCTTATTCAAAATATCTACAAATTTCATAGTTATAGTAAATCAGTATGTACTACTAACGATTTATCTGTTCAAATAAATAGTGGCCACGATTATCTTTCTATAACCTTTTAACGGAACGAGTTGACGACCTGTGGCGTCCAGTGTTTTGTAGCCAGGATTTGACAGCATCTTCCAATGTATAAAAATTCTACCAATGAAGTGTACCAGGAGCGGACTTTTCCTGAGGAGACACTTCAGAAGCGGATTCTCTCGATATTTAGAAATTAAAAAATTAATAACTCAGTCAGGATTGTTTCAAACCGCTTCAAAATATCAGGGTATACTCCATTTTATCTTCTTAAACGCATTTTATAGTAAAAATTAGTACGAACATTGGCTTATTTCCGAACCTTTCTAGATGGCCTTTCAAAAACCAAAGTACTTTCGATTGGTTTTTTGAAACTATTATGGAAGTTCATGGTGTAGTTCAGATAAAATGGAGTATCCTGATATTCTGAAGCAGTCTGAAACAATTTTGACTCAGTTATTAATTTTTTAATTGCTAAATATCGAGAGAATCCGCTTCTGAAGTGTCTCAGGAAAAGTCCGCTCCTGGTACACCTCATTGGTAGAATTTTTTATACATTGAAAGATGCTGTCAAATTCTGAATACAAAACAATGAACGGCGCAGGTTTTCATCTTGTTCCGTTAAAAAGTTATAGAAAGATGATCGTGGCCACTATTCATTTCGACAGATAACAGAACTGAATAATGCTCTAGTGTTATAATATGTCGTTTTGACTGAAGGTTTGATAAAGCAGTTATATTGAGTATACAAACAGAAGTAGTTCCATAACTGATGACAGGGAGATGAACGTTTAAATTAAGTGATAAACTTTTCGCCTATTCCCACATGAAAGGCAATTCACATCTTTTGGATGCTCAGGGCGACGACCGAAGAAAGATGCCAGATTTGAAGGTACATAAGCTAGAATTGTCTAGCTCTGTTATGACTCATGCGATTCCATATTGCTGCATCGACAGACGTTTTGCTTTTACAACACAACTGACCTTTAGTCGAGGATCCGTGAATCGCAGATAAATGCTAAGTGTTTATGACGTTTATTCGTTTAAAATTCGTAGAGGTGGATATGTTTATGAATTTTGTGGTGAAATATCTAATATCATTAGTAATTTGACAATGTTAAAAGAATTATCCTGGATTGACGGTCAAACACGTGCCATTCTTATCCAATTTAGCATGTATAATGCCAATGTTAATTTATTTATTTTTGTTACATTAATGGTAGAATTCTTACCAACGGGAGGAATATTTCCACAAGCAAAATTCGAAGCAATCAACTTATTAGTTAAATATACATCAGGTAACTTGTGTTTGTTTTTCATCCCGTTTTTATGTTTTCTATTATTTATACTATATAGAATATGGTATGTTTCAATTTATTTGTTTTATCATTTACATGCTATTTGTTGTCTATTACACGATCATTGAAATACGTTTATTAATTCAATTAAAATGGACTTATTTCAAACGATTTTGGTCTTATATTGAATGGGGTATAATCATTTGTTCATGGACTGCTTTGGGTATTTACATTGCACGTGCCCTAGAACAACGTAGAATTGAAACCTATTTTAAACAAAATACATATATTAATTTACACAAAGCATTTTATATTCATGATTTATTGATTGATCTAATTGCGTTCTGTGCATTTTTTAGTACAATAAAATTATTATGTTTGTTGCAAGTAAATCATCGAATATCCATTTTGAGTCGAACATTAGAAATGGCTGCGAAAGATTTGATATTATTTGGTTCTATGTTTTCAGTTATATTTGTTGCATTTTTATGTTTATTCTTTTTATTATTCTCGACAGCCTTATTTGAATGTTCGAGTACATTACGAACAGCACAAATGTTATTTGAAATGATGTTATTAAAATTTGATGTTAGTGATTTAGTAAATGTACATCCAACTATTGGTCCATTGGTTTTTTCATTATATATAGTTTTTGTTGTATTTATTATCATCAATATGTTTATTTCAATTATCAATGATAAATTTAAAGTAGTTAAACATGATCCAATATATCAAATAGCTGATAATGATATAATAAAATATATGGTTAAAAAATTTCGATTATGGACGGGTAAATTCATGTATAAATAATGTACTTCTAGATAAATTTGAAATATTTTTGTTATTTTTCTGAAGGATTGTCTCACGTAAAAATTGAAGATTGGCGACCGTTAGATGGCAGTCAGTTGTATGATCATATACAAATTTTTGTAATTAAAATAGATCAACTTTTGGTAGCATTGAACCATGTAATGAGCTTATAGAACGTTGTTTATTTATTTAACATCATTTTTTATTTTTAGATAGACAAAAGTAATTGACTTACAAAACTACAGAAATATGCCATTTATAGAATAAAGTTAAGTGAGCGTCACTGTATCTTACGATTAATAATGACAAAGCATGACATCCTTAACTAATCAACTTTAAATGTGAAACATACTTCACTATACTGTTGCTTTTCGTGTAAAATTATTATTTTAAATAAAAAAGTTTAATTAAAAAGTGGGTGCCGATACCAGACTTATTTGGCAAAAGATTAATGAAATGCAAATATACTTTCAAAACTGTACAAAATGGCTGCTGGGCACATTAGAAATACGAAAGAATGTATAGCATTGTTTAGGATGATATGATGAAGAAAAAGGAGATTAATGTGGCATACTCTTACTGCTGGAAAACGCGAGAGATGCCACAATATAAATGCACACCGTACCTACTGAGAATACACCCTATAGATCGATTCTTATAGAAGAATCTTATCAGAAACTTATCAGAAACTTATAAGTCTGTTATTAACTTTTTATAACGTTCACAAAAGAATCTTACTAGTTTCTTATTTAAGATTGTTTAAAAATGCCTGGTATATAGACTGTGGTCGAAGTGCACCCACTGCAGTGGTACTAATGCACTGAAAAACTATCTTGTTCGGATGAAACTCATTGCATGAATGGTGAAATAGAAGAAAAAAATCAAATACGATTCCACTTCCCGTTTCATTTTCTTCAGCCGAGTACCGTTACTGAGATATTCACGAGTTTTTCTCTCAGATGCTCAGAGGTGATCCTAGCGGGAGGGTCCAAAGGGTAATACCCCCTTCCAATAATTGAAAAAATTTCCAGTCGACTTCCCAAAATTTCTTTTTAGGAAAAGCAGTTTAATTTTTAGAAAATATGGTTAAAAATCTTTTGTTGTCTCCCAACCCTGGGTGTCACGAGCCATTTCTGCAGATGCCGCAAGTTTACATGTCCGTACATATCTCAAGGTTAAACAGTGAATATCTCGTTAACGTTAGTTGGTGGGGAAAAAGATGAAATGAAAAAGAGTGACATCATATTTGATTTTTTTTCTGTTTTAAAATATTCATGGAATGAATTTTATCTGAGCAAAATAATTTTTCAGTGCATCAGTATCGCTGTGATGGATGCACCCCGATCATAGTATACATACTATTCGAAGGCTGGCGAATTATCATCAGTGAGTGAATTTCGAACCACATCAACTCGTTCTATTGGAGAAGGGCGTGAACAATGTCATCGACTCCAGTCGAACACCTACGTAAAATCGTCGACCATACAAAGCGGTTTGGCAATGCTAAAGAACGCCGACCGGTGGTCAGGGAACACAGGAAACAGATACATTCCTGGTTACTTCTGGCAGCCTTAGGGAAATTATTATGCCACAAATTCATCAGCTGAAAAGTATTCAGCCAATTTATATCTACTGTCATAACGAAGGATACCATCAGCAGTGATGCTCAAGTTTTGCAAAAGTAAGTTTGCTTCAAATTGCGGCTACTTATGCAAAATTTTGTGTGTTGCATCGAACGTAATGAATGTATGACAAACTGTAGTTTAAATTGAACTGTTTAAATAGTGGCAAAAGTTAGCGTTTGACCTTAAGCAATTTTGGACTTTAATAACACGTTTTCCATTAGGCTGGTCTCTAAGGAACTAGCAACACCTTCTTCTGTACTTTCTTGTACACTTACACGGCATTGAGTTGGGGTAAATCATATCTTGTGCAACCTAAAAGCCCATGTCGAATAGGTACGAAAAATATATGAAAGCGACCGCGGGATTTCGAGATTATAAAAAAATGAGCGTAAAACAGCCGAAAACTCAAAAATCCCCACCGAACTTTTCGATTTCAGTTTAAAAGCTATGAAAGTTTTATTTTATCCATCTGTTAAAAATCGCAAAGTTAAAACAATAGTTTTAAGTTGTTCATGCTTAGTCGGTGACTGTTCGACTTTTAATTTCTGGACTCATGGGGATGAGATTTGATTGACAACATAATATATATATTGCAGGTGGTGGTAATAATCGTGTGCAAAAATTTAATTTAATTGATAACAGTTGTTAAAAATTAAAGACTTTATGTTGTGTCAAGCAAGCATTGTATGCTGCATTCCAGCTTCCGGCGTGAGAAGGTTTTTGGATGAAACTAGAGTTTTCCAGAAAACTCATAGAAGAACATGTCAGCAAAAATACCTCGATTTTCTTTTTTGATGATCTATCTCAGTATAAGTTTCAGCACAGTCAAACATCGGCTACCTGGATCTTCAAAGGGATCAAGAAAGATGGGAGGAGTACCCTTAAGAGCCATTACAGAACAGCCGCGACCAACCGTGCCCAATCAACTGTCTCCAAAATAGATTACAATTACCTAGGTCAAAACTACGATCAATAGTAAGTTTTTATCCGCTAATCGCAGCTCTGCAAACCAAGTAGTTACTGAAGTATTCAAGTTTTAAGAAAAATTGCCGTTTTTTGGCGGTGAATTAGGATCAATTAGCGTTTAATCTTGAGTGTATCATTTTCTAACGGGTTGACTCAGAGACACGCAAATTTCAGCACGAATACAAGGTGGATCAGGCTAGAAAACAGTGCAAGTCCGGACTCTAGAGGTCGTTTCATTATCAAGTTATAGATGGCGATCACCCCAGTAAGACTCAGACTTTTAGGGTAGATACTAGAAGAGTGCAATGACATTCTTCAGTGTGACTATCCCCTGAATTCCTGAATATTCAGAATTTTAGTATCACAAAATGTCGGAGTCTGAGAACTTGACAATGTCACTATTCTCTGAATACCTAAACAATTAGAATTTCAGAATCTCAGAATTTTGCTATTCTCCAAATTCGAAAGTGTTTAGAGTATCAAAATGTCACAATTCTCTGAATTAATAAACATATTGAACCTCAAAATTTCGGAATCTCTAAATTTCACAATGTCACTACCCTCTGAACTCGTAAACAGTTTGAATTTCAGAATATCAGAATCCCACAATGTCGCTGCCCCCTAAATTCCTAAATATGCTCAATTTCACGATTTTATTATCTCAGAATGTTAGAATCGCAGAATCTGACAATGTATTCTCCGACTTTCTAAATGTTGAGCACCTGAGGATTTCAGAATCTGGGTGTGTCAGAATGTCACTATTCTCTGAATTTCTGATTATCTTGAATTTAAGAGCTGGATTGTTCTTTCGAGAACGTACCGGGTTTACATTGACCTTGTCCGAATTGTTCGAGATTAACAAGACTAGTACAACTCGGGCTCCTAATGACGAATATCACGTTTAAAAGATTTTAAATCAATGGCATGGTGGCCTTCTAGACCTGTGGAAATACCATCTCTCTGCAGAACAGTCCTTTTGTGGGTATTTCACCATTTTCTAGCGAAACACTTTCATGAGCTGGTACCGCGGTATACCGTCAGATTAGATTCTATGTGTGTAGAGCTACGGAATCACTAGCAGACAAAATATTCCAAAATGTTAAACACGTTCTCAGGAAAAGTTTAAAAAAATTCCTTTTTTAAAGGTAGACCTTTTTTGTAAACTAATTTTCTTTCATAAAATCATAGCGACGCAGGACAACAAGGTATCCATTCGACGCTGCTTTTCAAGCTCTATCCGATGAAGTGGTTCGAATTGAGATTAGAAAACACTTGATACTGGAAAAAACAACTTTTGGAGTCAATTTTTTTCGTTTTTCGAAGTTTGAGTACGTGCTGCAGCATTCTGCGGGATTGCAGGACGTGGGATGACATAAACTTCGCATGCACTCGACGCGGCCTATTACAAAAACAGGTTATCGTCAAGCGCCAAGACCTTTCAGGTAAAGGTGCTTTTCCAGCAGAAAACCCACGGGATTTCCGTCTGTTTGGAAGGTTCTTGGCCCTTGACGAAGGGGCCAAGAACCTTCCAGGAAGGAACCAAAGGAATATTTTTAAACTTTTCCTGAGAACGTGTTTAACATTTTGGAATATTTTGTCTGCTAGTGATTCCGTAGCTCTACACACATAGAATCTAATCTGACGGTACCAGCTCATGAAAGTGTTTCGCTAGAAAATGGTGAAAATACCCGCAATTTAAGAGCTGGATTGTTCTTTCGAGAACGTACCGGGAGAATATACCGCTGTTCTGCTGGGAGATGGTATTTCCACAGGTCTAGAAGGCCACCATGCCATTGGTGTAAAATCTTTTACACGTGATATTCGTCATTAGGAGCCCGAGTTGTACTAGTCCTGTTGCTCTCGAACAATTCGGACAAGATCGATGTAAACTCTGGTACGCTTTCAATAGAATCATCCAGTTACAGAATCGCAGAATTTAGCCGCTATGGCGCTGGTCTCTAAAATGACAAAATATATAGATTTAAGAATGCCACTATGGCACTATTCTCTGAATTCGAAAGTATTTAGGATTTAATAGTTTCAGAATATAAGAATCGCAGAATTTCAAATGTCACTATTCTCTGGATTGTAAAATATTCAGAATTTCTGAATTTCAAAATGTTAGGATCTCAGAATTCCAGAATGACATTACTGTCTGAATTCCGAAATATCGAGAATGCTAGAATTTCAGAATGTGAGAAACTCAGAATCCGATAGTGTCCCTGATCGCTGAATGCCTGAGCATTTTGATTTTTGAGAATTTCAGCCTCTTAGAATTCTACAATGTCAATATTCTCTGTTTTTCAAAATATTTAAAATATCGCAACATTTCTATCCAAGAACAGGAACATCGACAACAGCTACTGATAACAAAGTTCAACGTCAAGATGAGCCAATTGTTAGTGAGAAGAAACGGATAAATGATGATCAATATGAAAGGCAGACGCAACACAATTAACTCTGATCGTATTAGTGTCATAAGAGTGAAAAGACAAGATGTGGTTGACGCAGGGAAAAAACAGATGAATGGTTAGCCATTAACTCAACTAAAGCATAAACCTTGATCGACGTTCTAGAGATGAATAATTCATATCACAAATATTTCTAAACAAACATAATGTCAATGATAATTAGCACAAATAAAATATACATTACTCAATTTTGTATTCGAAGATTATACGTTTAGATTAAATAACAAACTGCTTAAAAATGAATAGACTACTTTTATATTATTCATCACTGTACCAAAAATGACTGAAAACTATGACGATTCAGTAGAAAAGATTTAGCAAAAAGGCTATAGCATACGAAAGCAGATGAAAAACTGAGTTGGAATCCATGTTGCTCTAGTCCTAATTCTAAAGTCTACCGTTCACTATTTTTTAATTTCCAGTCGGAATATACAAAGTAGCCTGATCGAGATATGTACATAAATAGATAAAATGTTCTTTGATATGTGATGGAAAATTATTTACTTAAAATCTTTTCCTATGAAGTTTTCATTTTAAATTTTTCGGGAATTTTATGATAATCTTTGTTCAGTTTCGATTGAGTTCAAAAAATGTTATTATAGAAAAAAGCTGAAAAGTTTGTAGTAAATTGATGTAAAACTTCCTAAACTCAGCCAATACTCATTCAATAGCTATCAAGATGCTTCCGTAACAAATAATTCAACATACTCCACTAGACCAGCAGATCAAAATCTTTATATCTGGAATTTAAGATGCGTCTCCATAGATTGGTTTTAAAAAACATCCACTTCAGACGACTACAGAGGAACGAACAAATCAGATTCCTGATTAATATAGAAATTCTATAGACGGATCACCATCCTTTCTTTGATTAATATTGTAATCGTGGATTTTTCAGCGAACAATCGATAACTAGACACTTCGAAATCTTCTCTATGAATGAATCATGGAAATTTTTGTTGACCATGTATTCTACAGATTAAATTTGAAATGAGAAGTTTAAAATACTTAACTACATAAAAAAGCATCCACATTTGGTTCTTTAAACGTTGAGATTTTTATTTTACTGTTATTAATAACTAATTCATCAATAATTAAAAGGGCATATGAATTTTGTTTTGTTGCTTTATCAAATATCAACGATTCAAAATCTTTTATTGTGTAAACATTATACCATTGATTCAACTGAGTAAAATAATTTGATTTATATTCATTTGTTGCTATATAAATTGTACCGTTCGTTATATTCATAAAATTTAGTTTTTTTCGTATCATTTCTGGATGTGTACAATAATTAAGCTTTTTATTAACTTTGTCTCCTCTACGAACATGTATAGATGTATATGGTGATCGTTGTTGAATTTGTTTAATTATTTTATTCGATATATCAATTAAATATTGCGGATATTGATATTTTCGAAATATCTTTGATATTTCTGTTTTATTATAAACTTTTGATCGGCATAAGTCATACCAATACCTGTAGGAATTATTTTTCAAAACTGGTATATTTTTGATATTGTATTGAACAATTAAATTTGAAGAAAGAAGATCAGTGCTTTGAGTAGAAACAATATTTAAGTGTTTTTTTAATAAATGTGTGTTCAATATACTTTCAGTTAATACAGAACGACGAGATGATGATGTTGGAAAGAAAAATGTTGATGTATGTTGTTTTGGAATGCAAATGGTTTTTGGTAATATCATTTTCATATTTAAATATTGAGCTATAGCTATTTGACAAATTATATTTAATCGCTGATGTCTCCATCCAACACAGACAAATAGTTGATCGTTTCCGAATAAAATGAACTTCGTGTTTTGTTCGTTTTGTTCGACTATATCTTTTAAACTGGTATAAACCGAAAATTTATCAACATCCTTCTGATATAGTTTGATAAGAATTGTATTGAAGATTAGTGTATAAAAAAAACTTATCACGAAGAAATGAAATACTAAGCAGAAAAAAAATCTTTTCTTCATCGTATATCAAAGTCAATAACAACAGAAAATCTGTCATACAATATGTAAGAGGAAAGGACGCACAGTTTTATTTCATATGTAAAACTTTTTTCTTCTTCTTGTATTTGCTAGTCATTTGATAGTAAGAACCTTTTTCTTTCTTTTATGGTTGATGCAATGTGTATGCAATATGAAAAGAAATGAACAAGAACGAATTGAGATGATAATGCCTGTATGAATGTGAAACTCGACTTGAATAATTATTTAGTTAACTTTACAACTGCTTTGTAGTTTACTAGAGACCCAGACAGAATTTATTTCTGAAAGAAGATACCATAACCGGTTTTCACCTTTCTCAAGGGTCTCGTCAGGTAGTTTTCTTCGAGAAAGACAGAGTTAAGGCACGACAATAGATATGTGCAACCCCACCCGATCCGAAGCTTAGATATGGGCACGAAGTTGTCGGGTACGAATTCTATTTTTTTTCTGTCGGAGCAGTCCGTTCCGAACTCCTGTTTTTCTAAAAAAGTTCAGAAGATAGGGATGGAAAAAGATCGGATAGTCGGCACGACAACTAAAAAAAGTCCAGATTTTGGGATTGAAATTCGTCAAAGTGTTCAGAACGGCATAAACCAAGGCTTTTTAGCGACTTTTTAATACAAAAATTTCTGGATGTTCGGAATGAAAAACTCAGGATGTTCATAACAAAAACGAAACAAGATTACAGCATATCTTTGAGACAAACACTTTTTGTTATGTGAGTTCTTAAGTTAGTTTGAGTTACACTGATCGTTCCATGTTAAAAGTTTTTTCTTCAACGTTATGTTGATTAACAGAGAAGTGAGATTAAAGAAGCATTTCTTTTGTGTTTTGAATTTTGTAGCAAATATTTCTTTTGTTTTTCGAGTTTATTGTTTTACATCTTGACTATTTTATGAAGTAAATCCTTAGTATTCGTTCTGAAATCGCATGCTATTGTATTTTAATCTTTTTCCTTTCTTTCTGAGCTTTATATTTTTGGACTATATATCAATCGAAAGTGCGGAAAAAACTGAACAAAACAGGGTATTTCTCAAGTATTAACCTCGAAATCTAGTATTGGAAAAAATTCAGTTTATTGAAATTTTGAATGGCGGTAAACTTGGTCTTTTTCGTTAAAATTGCCCTTACGGAGCCAAACACAGTTTTTCTAAAAATTCAACAAGCTTATCTTGTAGAGCAGATAATTTTCTACAAAATGAACTATTTGACATTGAAAAGGAACTTAAGCAAAGTGTCCAGAAGTGAGTTACAATAGGTACCACTACAGTCATTTCTTTTCTTCTCTACTTTGGGCTGAATCCATATGAAACCTACCACAATTACATCGACCTTCGACGCCAGTGACTAGACCAACCTCATTTTATAGGGTTCGGCAAGCTAAATCGAATGATGAAAACCACAAGTCTCTAGCTTTGTAGGGAAAAAAGCTATCCATAGTTTACCCTCCCAACAGAAAAGTGCATTTCTCGCCATTTGCTAGCGGATTTGGCTTACCTTGTCAAACGTTCAAACATAGAAAACCAGTTTTTCTACATGTCCGTACATATCTCAAGGTTAAACAGTGAATATCTCGTTAACGTTAGTTGGTGGGGAAAAAGATGAAATGAAAAAGAGTGACATCATATTTGATTTTTTTTCTGTTTTAAAATATTCATGG